ATGCTCACCTTGTTTCTGCTGCGGAATTTTTATTTGCCAAAATGAATTAGTGGCTCGTCCTATTATCAGGTCTTTTTTACTCTTCTGTGAAAGATATTTTGTTGCATTTCCGAGTTAACGTTCACTGCAACCTAACATAACCTAACCTAACATAACCTAACATAACCTAACATAACCTAACATAACCTAACATAACCTAACATAACCTAACATAACCTAACATAACCTAACATAACCTAACATAACCTAACATAACCTAACATAACCTAACATAACCTAACATAACCTAACATAACCTAACATAACCTAACATAACCTAACATAACCTAACATAACCTAACATAACCTAACATAACCTAACATAACCTAACATAACCTAACATAACCTAACATAACCTAACATAACCTAACATAACCGAACGTAACCTAACATACCCTGCGTTGTGGAAAAGTGGATGCAGTGCAAATTTGAAAGTCTGTGGATGACTTGACGCTTTAGTTTCTCAGTAATTCACAGAAAATACTTCTGGCATGTTCTCAGTATTTTATATTGATCGATAGGTCAAATCACAGCAGTATCGATTTACAAACGTGACGCATCTTTGTAGTTCTAAGGACAAATATTCACAGTTGTTCTTAAATATAGGTGAGCGTTAAAACGGTATTTCAGTCTGGAATGAAAACAAACTACGTTAGTCTTCACGGTGTGACGAGTAGCAGTTTCATTAATGTGGCAATATTTGGCCTAATGCATTCTCATTATTTGTTGGACTCTTTAAATAATAGGTTGATAGTTTATTTTGTGATAAGCAGGAACGATAATGCAAATTACAGTTACATTAAGGTATCTGTTGCTCACGAGAAGACACAAGACATGTTGAAATTCTATATTTACATTCTTAGATTTCACATCTAAATTTATGTATTTCTTACGTCGCCCAATTGCATTACCTGCTCTTAAAACACGTGCTGATATATTTATATACATATATATATATAATTATGCACGATAAACAGTGGAATTGGTGGGAAGAATACATCTTTTTAAACATCAAAATTCTTTATTACGTTAAAAATATTTCAAAAAATCCGGTGATTTAATCAAGCCTTTGCCAAAAGGATTCCGCCTGCACATTTATTTATTATTAACTGAAAATAGGTTTTTACCAGGTTGCAGTGCAGTTATCTCACGAATCGTTCTCAGGATGCATGTTCAAGGACCTTCAATTACTAATAGCAGCTGTGAACACAGCGAACAATAAATCGCGGACAGCCGAAAAGGGTGGTCCTCCAACTTGGGTATTGGGTGGGGAGGTGACAAAGAAAAAGGGTGGTCCTCCAATTTGGGTATTGGGTGGGGAGGTGACAAAGCTTCAGGGTAAAAAAAAATAGAATGAAAAATTGCCACCTTTCAAAATTATTTGGGACACCTCAAGTAAAAGTTGGCAAAACTGCAGACATGATTCCACGTGGGACATTAGGTGAGTGTGAGGTTAACTGGAGGAATTTTGTTAGCCGGGAAATGATTTTTCGGATTGCAGAAAACATTTCTTTTAACTCCTCAAGAAGGATTGAGCTTCGGAGAGTTAGTCGTGTTTTAAAATGCTCGTTGTCCTGTTCAAACCGAATATGGCGTCTCGGGTGCAGTCACGTGATATTATTCTCCTGTGTCTTAACACTGAAAAATCTATTACTTCATCGTCCCCGGGGCAAATATGACCATAATTACCAAGTTTAAGCTCGACCAATTTCGTAAAGATTATCCACCTTTCACTAGCCACGACAGGATCCTGACTGATGGCGATACCTAGCGGCAAAGAACGTACGTTCCCAAACCCTGGCACGTAGATCAATGACGAAACAACCTGTCTCTGACATAACAAAGCCATGTTGAAAGAAGGAGTCACTCTGAAACACGAGAAGAAATTTACGTAATTGACAGGTGTAAATGACTAACTCCCTGGTGGCAGAATCCGGAGGTCCAACACCGACAACACCAGAGCCCACCATTGGCCACGATCCTGAGCCAACTCCGTCCATTTGCCATCCTCACAGTCCAACTCCCACGAGTAATTTATTTTATGAACATGACGCAAATATTACGGTATTAAGTTCTAGATCTCGATAGTGTGTCGACGTTAAACAGTCTTGGCAACATCTTACTACGTTTTGTGGGTGTCTGTAGTCTTGCAATGATACGTCTTGTTCCATTCTTTTAAGTGGCACTGCACGTTAACAAATGATATTCGGTCCTTTTGTATAATTTATGTATTATATATAATTTCTTTAATAAGCCACGGTGGTCTAGCGGTTAGAACGCTGGCCTTGTAATCCTGGGGTCTCGGGTTCGATTCCCGGCGGTGCCCGAATTTATAACTTGTGTTGGGCAACCGTGGTCTAGGCAACACGGAGTTTTCCTCCGTGGCATCCCAACAATTACTCCGTTCAGACACAGAAGAAGGCAATGGCAAACCACTTCTGGATCATCTGCCAAGAACGTATATGAACAGGTCCCATTCCGAGAAAAGGATGGAAGGATCCTGTTCATATGGACCTGTCGTCAGACAGAACACTAAATAATAATAAGATGAGGTGGTCTAGCGGTTAGAACGCTGGCCTTGTAAGCCTGGGGTCTCGGGTTCGATTCCCGGCGGTGCCCGAATTTATAACTTGTGTTGGGCAAGACCGTGGTCTAGGCAATTCTTGCAGTAATTTCGAATATTTTCCTAAATTCTTTCTTCGTGGTGCTACAACTTGCACAAATGTAACTGTCCCATTATTTACATTCTATACCAGAAATTCTCAAGTACTTAACTTTCTCTGCCTTCGGTTGTGCTGGTTCTCAAGGAAACAAGACGCTATCTGCATATTTAAAAGTTGTCTTTGGTAGGCCTGTTTGTAATATAACATTTTGTGACCGATTTCTACGTATTAATAATGTCCAAATGTGCTGTAACACTGAGCCCATTTCTTTGTCCGACAAAGTATGACTCGAAAAGTCGTGATATGCGATTAAAACCCTAATATCTTGAAACTTTAATTAACGTTCGTCGCTTTATACTTGACGGAGAAGACGTTATTCCTATATTGCGTTCCAGCGTTCTTGGCCGATGAACTTTGTGAATTGGAACCTCGGAGCGAGTCACTTACCAGAAGTTTGCTGGAAAGGATGGCAGTAGGTCGCATACAGGACACTCATAATAAAATATCATCACGTTATGTAGCACAGGAAAGTCGATTTCACTAAACTACACATGACTAGAAAATTAAAACTGCAGAGAGTATTAGATAATGTTATATTCTTCACAACTCTTAGGTTCTCTCCCAATTCTTCCACTGCTCACAGACCATCGCTTTCGGAAATATTACTCGATTCATCACAACAGCTGCTGCTGTAAACTCCATTATCTTCAATAATATATATATATATATATAAGTGACAAAATGTGACTAGGCGTGACAAGTTGTAGCCATAAATTTCCAAAACGTTACCTAACCTAACAAAATACATTAAACAAATTTAACCTAACTTAACATATCCTACCCTAACCTAACCTAACCAAACCTAACCAAACCTATCCTAACTTAACCTAACCTTACCTAACCTAACGTAAAATAACCTAACCTAACCCAACCTAACCCAACCTAACCTAACCTAACCTAACCTAAACTAACCTAACCTAACCTAACCCAACCTTACCTATGCTAACTTAACCTAAGCGAACATTTCTAACCTAACCCAACATGTCGAATTTGAATCTAACATATCGCAAAGTATCAAGAATTAACCGAGACGTACGTAACTTAACGTAAGCGTGCCGAAACGTGACTTAGTGACCACGTGTTCCCGATCACATAATATTTGTACTTTTTATTTATTTAATTTGATTAAATCGTACAGTTGAGCTCTCAAAAGTTGTTACAAAATGGGATGTTTATTTATTTCCAATTTCCGACGAAAAGCGATGGACTTTGGGACTTGCCATCTGCGTACCGAGCTAATTCGACGTAGCGGGAAAGTTTACGTATTTCGTTGACATGCAGACTGAAGAGCACTGGGGAGACGAACCAACACTTATTTTAAAACGAACACCAGGTTTTATAGTAGCATAATATCTGAGTGTGTGTTCCCTCTAAGAAATGTTGTCTTTTTTACCTGGGACGAAAGATGTTCAAAACACATAGCACTTTTTTAAGGGCAATCTTCCGTCGAATGTCAAATAACAACATAGCCATAGCTCAAATTCTACGTCAATCTCATTTATGACCTTATAATTCGACAAAGACCGGCGGCAATTTAACTCGTGAGGGAGCTAATCTTGTTGGCTAATACACGGAAAATGCGGTCGCTTAGCAACGGTTTCTCGCCACAGACCCATTCTGTTTGGTTGGGATACAGACAATAACTCGACAGCTGTTATTGGCGTGCGATCGTATGATGTTATATGGAACACAATTTCATCCTTGTATGGAAAAGATGGAAGGCAGAGATCATATTGTACGATGTGATGTAAAACTTTAGCAAAGGAATTAATTCGCTTTTTACAAGGAGCCAGATCGTGAAAGTGTTACGTATTAACTTATTCTCGCTGGCCATTCGAAGTGTCTACACCTTCTATATGTAAGGTTCTAACGACAGTGAAAATGAAATTGTTTTTTCTAGGTTTAGGCGCCGTGAAGTCTCGTAGGTTTTGTAGAAACTTACTGTCCCCATCTTCACCTCTGAAGATGGAGAAACAATGTTCTTTTCCCCGAAAATTTGGTATCTACCTCCGAAGGAAAACCCAGACAAAACAACATCGCGTTTAAGTTAAATTATTCAGAAAGAAAATGGACAGGTGATCGCATTTTGCACAAAACTTTTACAACATGGGGTTTCATAATAGGAGTGCTACATGTACAACCTAACCCAATTTATATAAAGATACGACATTGCAATCTTAAACTTTTGTACTGGATCAGTTCTTAACGACGTTCTATTTTGTGATTTTCTGTTTCAGAGGCTCCGTAGTTAAAGATTACGAAACATTCTGGACAGACATCGTCGGTCAGCTTGATCAGTGATGCAAAAAATGGACAGAAGTGGTTTACCCTCACATAATTTCTCGTTTTTCATTTTAAGTAAGCAAAACCCCTTAAGTCCTTCCACTTCCCTTTAAAAAAAATTATGACAAATTTGTCAAATCTAAAACTTCTTGACGATGGTGAAGAGTCAATTGAATAAACATTTTCTTGGATATTATCCATCGTCTAGTAAAATATAAAACGTAAAACGACGTTTCGGAGATGGGACTCTATCTCCGAAACGTCGTTTTACGTTTTATATTTACTAGACGATGGATAATATCCAAAAATTTTTTATTCAAATTACAAATTTGTCGTTGAACTCCTTCTTGTCAATGATTAAAAGTGGATATACATCGTGTCGCGTAATTATTATTGTAAAAATAAATATTCATTAAAAAACTGTGGTATATTCAGAAAATGGGAAAAAAATAAGGTATTCACAGGGTGATCGTATTTCGTCGTTTATACTCATGGTCACCGCTGCAGACAAGCAGAGGTCGAAGCACCAGTGAACAAGCCACCGAGCTGTCAGGACTGACGTGGAGTAATTCAAGCATTAACCAGCAGAACGATAAACTTGAAAGCAAACCACTATTCAAACAAAAATGTCCATTTTATTCACGTAACTGGAATGAACGCCATTTGGCGCTGATAAGGGAATACATTTTTCGTTGCATTACTTTATTCTCGATGTTCATTTATCTCCTTCTCTCCTTTCTTCCGTATTCCTTTGACTGTTCTGTTATCATTTTCTCTCTCCTTTCAAATTTCAAAATTACACTAAAAACTAATGCATCTTACTTACATCGTCAAACTTACACCAATCGACAGACACACTGAAAGTTTTGTGCACACATCTCAGAGAGACTCGAAATGCTGTCCGCGAGTCGCAGATGCCGAGACGATAATCCGTCTCGTCCCAAACTTAGTGGAGAGTCTCCCTAGTGATGGCATCTATATCAGTTCTGATTCCCCGCCATAAATGTGACAAAGATTTCGGCGTAATTTGATTCTCGGGCCTGGTCGTTCCATGTGAAATTGTATGCGAAATGCAGACTCCTCCTTCCCTAACTTGTCTGTTGTGGGCTGGCCATTTTGAAAATTAGTGACATCTAGCGGAGCTTCGTAAAACTACAGTCATCCTGGTCATTTGAGATAAAAATTGAATATTTTTTTGTATCGCCTGTTGAGGGTGTGAAGTTCTAAGAACGTCTCATTTGTTTTCTGTGTAATTTTTAAAGCGTCAAGTTCCTTAGTGCTCACCCTGTATAATTTCAATCACACAGAACTTATTTTATGTTCAAAATAAATTGCTAAATTCGGCTCGCTACCTGACTAAACCACATTCTATTAAGTAACTTCATAAAGTCACATTATATAGGATTATAGACACGTTGTAAGTAGTAATGTAATAATACATTTATACTCATACAACCATTACACAGAACTTATTCCATTAAAACTTTATGTATTTTATGACAATTTGAAGTTTTCTCAGACCAATCTCGCAGAATATTGCGTTCTGCAACATTGTACAGAACATCTTGCCATCTACAGCCATCTTATTTATTAAGTCAGGGGTCGGCAACACATTTCACCACGCCAGGCGCTCCTTTTGGGAATTTCTCGGCCAATATCGTCTTTAGGAACTACTCGGTTCTTGGTTCGGAGTTTGCTATCTGCTTCGACACAAGTTATGTTCGGTTATTGGAACAGGCCGACTTGTTGCAAAGTCCAGAAATCACTGCTGGCCAAATGAATCGATTCCTGTAGCCCTAATCCTTTCACGAGTTTCATATTGTCGATAAAACGGGTGGGAGATCTACCTCTTGGTCGAATTCGGTTCGTTTTCCCCTCAGTTACATGTTTCTTCAAAATATATTTGTTTAGCTCCGTGTCCGAAGTATTCTAAGTAGGACTCTTCTGATTCCGGAGGAAAGACGTGTTTGAATGTTAAGTTATTCAGTTACGAAGTTATTTGTGCGGTGTCGTGTCCAGGGTATTCTTATATTATTCGGTAAACCCGCATTTCGAAGGCGTCTGTTCGTCGTTGATCATTATTTTTATTGTTCAAATTTCCGCTCCGTGGGATGCAATTCAGAAGATCAATAAAGAAACCAGTCCGAGTTTATTGTTCTCTGATGCACATTCAACACGAAACAAGCACCTGGCTCGAATCAGAGGGCACTTGGATGATTTCCGTTTCATTTACATGTTTCCGGAACAGTAAAGTTGCTCCTGAGCCTCACGTTGAGGGCCTCATGTTGTTCATCTCTGTGTTAAGTCAAATGCCGGATCCTATTTCCTGTTTGAGGCGATTGGACCAGGACGGAGACCGGTGGAGGACTTTGGTTAATTCGGTGATGCAACTTCGACTTCTCTAAGCCATCTAGTTAGTTAGTTAGTTGAAGATTGCTGTCTTCTGGGTTATTGCGCAGAGAATCCTGGTAGATTTCCATCAACGTTTCAGTGGTCATGCTGTCTTCGTCATCGCCCTCATTACTGAGGCATTATGATCTCTGAAACGTCGGTAAGCACTAGCCTTGTAATCATGGGGTCCCGGGTTCAATTCCCGGTGGTGTTCAGATTTATAACTTGTGTTGGGCAAGGCCGTGGTCTAGGCAACACGGAGGTTTCCTCCGTGGCATCCCAACAATTACTCCATTCACACACAGAAGAAGGCAATGGCAAACCACTTCTGGATCATCTGCCAAGAACGTATATGAACAGGTCCCAGTCCGAGAAAAGGATGGAAGGATCCTGTTCATATGGACCTGTCGCCAGACAGAACACTAAAAAGAATCCCATTTAAAACACGGTTTGAACTAGAGAATCAAACAAACAGAGATCTGGCTTTTCTAGTATGATACAGGTAGACGCCCGCAAAATATCATCAGAAGCAAACAAATGTGTAATTTCAATTTTTACCTAACAGAATATTACAACGTGTCAGTGGTTAAACTGAGGCTCTGAATCCATTTGATTCAAATTCAAATCAATGGGATTTAGACAGGCAACACCTAACGTACGCTGATTACTGAATATTACGATTAGAAGATAACCCCTTAGATTGTATAACGCTATTCAAATGGATATTTAATAAACAACGTGCGAGGACATAGACTAGATTAACGTGGTTGTGGATTTGGTCCACTGGCCAGCTCCTGTGACCACGTGGTTTATTAGCTTAATTTATATTTTACTTAAAGACGACTTTGATGGATCAGATCATGGTTTCCTAAATAAGAAACAGAAGAACAACGATTTCATTCTATTCAGGTGGCTGCTAGTTCGTACCTTGGACAGGTTACAGGCCATTTCCTGGCCTTTCTTGTTATTTTAATCAAACAACAAAGGCAGCGTTTGAAACAGACGAAAATATATTTTTTTTTACAAATATATAACTGTAAATTTTTAATATTCACATTCCGATGTTTCTCTTGAATGTTAGTTGATAATCCAGCCAGAGTGATCCACTGCGATGGATTCAGGATTCGCAGTTCAAGTCACAGAGTCAAAATAAAGACTCGCGAGTTGCGAACAGGTGTACCAACATGCAGCACTCACGTGTTTCCGTAGTTCTCTCGTCCTGAATTTCACAAAAAATATTCTAGTCAGTCAACCTATACAATAAAGTTCTGTGACTTAATTTGTCATTCTTTAAAAAATTCTTATTTGTGCTCAGATATCTGTCCCAAGATTTGGTAACTTAACTCGAGTCCAATTCTCATGGTTCTTATTACAAACATCAGGATTGTACCTTACAATATAGAACAGTTGCTTTTCTTAATTTATTGTCCGAACACAGCCATCGGCCAACGGAAAAATGTAATTGGATACAGTTTTACCTACGACGTGAATCAATTTTTGAAAAATATTGTCAGTAATTAACTTTCTGGAGCATTTGTTATAAATATTGGTTTGTTACATTCGCTGTTATAACAGTTAATTCCCAGACTGGTAATTACTTCCCCCCCTCTCGTATTCAGTTTAATCACAACCCAAGTCTTTATTGTCAATCTCATTTTCCTCTACTACATAACTTACAAAACTCATTAGCAGTCAGACTAATTTCCATGTAACATATTGCAACCTTCTTAAATGTATCGCGCAAGAGGCATGAAACGTAATGACATCTGTGGACCGTAGTCGAAACTACTACTACAAGAACTCGTATCAGTCATACCCACTACTGCGAGTAGATGTCGCACAAAGTCGTCAGCGGTCAGGTCACGTGATCCTTTGGGCCAGTCACAAAGCAGCTGTACATACAATTATTGATGAAAGTATAATATCTGCACGCAACGTGCGATAAATTATGTCTTCGTCACATTATAAGTATTCATTCATAGCTAACAACATGTTTAAAGTAATATTTTGAAGCGAAAGACAACTCAGAATTATTCCTAATGTGATGCAATGACTAATACTCTCAAACTGCATTCATGTTAATAATAGTGCTGCTAGTGGTAAATCAGTTAGAGGGCAACAAATATTCTGTCACATAAATAGGTCAGTAATGAAATAATAACACTTTTATTTTTTTTCCCGGTGACTGACGTGTACTATAGCAGTTGCATGACTCGTTATGTACACGTCAGGTCTCTTGCACATATCAAGTTTGTTCAGTGACACGAAATACATCATTATATCTTAAAAATGAGTAATTACAGACCATTTACTCAATTCCTGGGAGAATGTGTGTGGCAATCGCTGATTTGCTTCATTGCACACTTTTTTAACACAGGGAATAAGCCATCATTTTGTATCTCTCTCCATTTTCTCAAAAATCCAGTATACAAAATGTTATGTTGGCAGACGTGTATTCCTTTTGCGAACAGCGTGGGGGAACTTAACCTCCCTTTTATCTCACTCACATAATTCATGAGGTTACGTGTGTAGGTAAGAAGTGATTAGCTTGACTCTTTAGTGACTCTTATAGTGTTCAGGTTACCCACTCCGTCTGATGTCAGAGTGTACATAAAACACATACAAAATTTTCGTTCTTGGGTATATCATCTTGTACATTTCATAAAAATCTTTAAATATGTAATTAGTGTATGTTTTCTCCAAATTATGCCCATGAATCTGTAGTCTAGAAAATTTAGTTAGTTTATAGTTTCATAGTTGCCATTCCATCATAATCTGATGGGTATTAAGATCTGAGTGAATGTGTCATTCTCCTTATCTCAGCTTCAGAGGTTTGAATAATTTTAATTAGAAGGACGTTTTAAAAATTAAATTACATCTTTTGCAACTGTAAGTGTCCTAATAGCATTAGTAACATTTTCTGGAAATTTGTTGTTTTTTTCCAGAACAGTTCAGTTACATTTAAGTTTCCTGTATCCTTTATTTCATACCAGAAGCTGAAATTGTATCTTTGTTTCACTATTTACTTCTGTGAAGCCATGTTTCATAGGCACTATTTCAGTTACTTCAACAATATTAACCATTTTAAGAAATTTGCCAAAATGGCCTTTCCTTATTTGAGAGGCAAATCATGAATAATATTTAATATCAAAAAAAAAACATTTTCATGCATTTTTGCACGTTGTATCGAAGTGACTTAGAAACTGCTTTTTTTTAGATATATGCATTAATCTACTATGTGGAAAAGACGTGGATCAACAAATAACCAAACATCACAAAATCAGTAAATAAATATATTAGCATAACCAAGAATA